CCCCCAAAAAAAAATAAAATAAAAATAATGCATGCCCCCTCACTTTGTGCACTCTGGCGCCGACCCTGATAGAGGCATTTACATTTTGACAGCCTAAAAACAGACTTCAGTCACATGAGTGACTGTAAATAATTAATTAACGAAATGTACCGTATCCTAACTGCGTGAGCTTAAACAGATTTGTCATCATTATTTTTTTACTAAAAAGAAATCTGGGGGACCCCCCTACGTCTATTTTTTATTTTTTTTAAAATCTGTGCTTCTCAACCTTTCTGTGTCTATGCGCTGCTTCACCATACAGATTTAAATTTGCACAGCTAAATACAACAGGCTGGGTGCTGATTAAAATTTCTGAAATAAATATTTCTGCAAAACGTGTTAGGTTGCACAGAAGAAAGGCTGATCTAGGACCTGCCCCGTACAGCAGCAGAGGACTATTATTTTGTTTAAGGAACTGAGGATGACGTCACGGGCTCAGATTTGGCTGACCAATTGGCGGAAAGGGGCGTGTCATGACCGCCCACAAGGGGGAAACTAATTTTGAAGTCGTTTATCCGTTTTCTACCCGTGAAAAAAAAAAAAATTCGGGCCAAAATCTTGTTTTTTCGTTTTTTTTTAATAAATGAAGAAAAAACGAAAAAACGACTGTTTTCTCATTTCTGCTTATTTCATTTCAAATTGAAAAACAAACTATCAAAACGTACACGGGCCTGTCATTCCTCCACATCACCACCAGAGTGCTCCATCACCACTCTGATTGTTTCCAATCGGATTGCATTTCCCAGAAACCCCTGCCTAGGAACCAATTACAGACTTCTTACATTGTCAGTCAGGAGGACTATAAATGCTGCACTCTTTCCTTCATTCGGGGCTGAGTATTGAATGTTTGTAGCCACTTTTCCTAGTGTTTCCTTATTTCCCATGTTTCCTAGTTTCCCTGCTTCCTTGCCTTCGTGTTTCTGATTGTTTTGCTGCCTGCCCTGACCATTGCCTGTTTTGTGGATTACTCTTTTGCCTTGCCTCTGCCATTGTTGTTCGCTAGTGTTTTGACCCTGATTGTTTCGACTACGCTCTGAAATAAAGCCTTGTATTTGGATCCTCAACTTTGTTGTCACGCTCCCCTCGTTACATAAATACTTGATCCTGCAAATTTTGATCTTCTTTATATTATGTGATTAATAAGCAATGGATCAATACATGACACGCAACTGTTCACTGATGTAAGCATGGTTGCAGCTTATTTTAAAAGTACAATTTTAATAAATACTTAAAGGTTTTAATCACCTGATGGTCAATTTACAGCATTTATCCTGTAGTAATTGTTTGAGCTCCTTTACTCCTGATTGTCCAGGATAATTTCCTGTGAGATCCAGCTCTATCAGGTGTGAAGGGTTTGATCTCAGAGCTGAAGCCAGAGCTTTATAACCTTCTTCAGTGATACTGCAGTCTGAAAGTCTAAAAAAAATATATATATATATTCTTTTTGGAGACATATATTATCATATCACTAACGGGATTTATGAACGGCTTCTGACAACCTAAATAGACAAATTATGAACAAATTATTGCCATAAAGTGCAAAATATGTATGCCAATATAATATTTTTATTTTAATATTGGCAAAAATCCCAGTAATGAAATTCCATCATTAATAAATGCTGTCCTCATGTACTTTCAAAAAAGAATATGAGCCTCAGTCATACTCTAAATTAGATAAAAGTACAACTAAAATTGTGGCCTTCATTTTTACAGTTAAGCTAATTAAATAAACATTTATAAATGTATATAAACATACAGAAAAGTACATAAATGAAAATACATACTTCAGTTTCTCAAATTTGCATTGAGGATTTTTCAACAGGAGACAGATCTTCTCCATTCCTAGGCATCCTAGTTTATTTGCACTCAGATCCAGCTCTATCAGGTTTGAAGGATTTGAATTAAACGCTGAAATTAGAGCAGCACAACCTTCTTCTGTAATACTGTTATTCTTCAACCTGGAGAGAAAGAAACAAAGACATGAAACTAATAAAGTAACAGAAGGATACATTTATGTCATAGGTCAATTAATCTCAGTCCTTAAATATTTTATAGAACAACAATAACAGTGTTTCATTAGACTGCAAAAATGTAACATCAACAATTTTTGTAAAGCATTATTAACCATGTGGAATACTCACATCAGTGTGTTGAGTTTACAGTGTTTATCATGCAGTAGAGCAGCGATCTGATTCACTTGTGTGTCTCCTAGTTCACGTTTACTCAGTTTCAGTTCTCTCAGGAGTAATGAGTTTTTAATGTGAAGAACTTCATTCAGATATTTACAGGCTTCATCTGCAGCAGGACCCAAAAACCTGCAGAAAAGAAGATGAAGCAGTATTCAATTAAATTCCTAAATAAACGATCGAATGAAAAAAGCCTATGATTCTGCATGTGAAATGCATTTTATATTCGTGAAATAATATTTATATAAATTATTTGCATGCATGTAATTCATTTTGTATTATCTCATCACATTTCACCTCAGTGTCTTCAGTTGATATTCTGGATCCTGTAGTAAAGGACTGAGCTCCTTCACTCCTGATTGTCCAGGATCATTTCCTCTGAGATCCAGCTCTATCAGGTGTGAAGGGTTTGATCTCAGAGCTGAAGCCAGAGCTTTATAACCTTCTTCACTGATACTGCAGCCTGAAAGTCTAGAAGAATACAAAAAGAAACAAGTAGTTTTAAAACAGTAGTAATTACTCCTTTGCTAAAAAGATTTCAATATGAGGATTGTGTCATTAGGATATTTATATTTCCCAGCACCCCAAAAGTGTTTTTAATTAAAGAAATTAATGTGAGTGTCTTTTTTTTTTAGCAATGTAAGTGACGTTACTGAAAAAGGTTCTTCATGACACGCATCCACCTAATTAATAATTACAAGCCCGCCTACTGGAGACTTATTTACCCGCAATCATTACACAGCTCTCTGTAAAACTTGATTCTGATTGTTCAGTTGCAACATTCCAAGGTGTGTTATTCCCTGATAACAACAGTCATCATTAGCAATGCCAAATAACATACCACTCATCCGGGGATTTAAGGCTGGTGCTTCTTTCAAATCTCTCATATTACACCACTGTGGTCTCTAGTTTCATTCAATCACAATTGCTATCATCTTGCGCCTCAGTTATCAACTGTATTTACTGTCAAATGAACCCCGAGGACTTCAGTATTAATAGTAGGTCTGCGGTAATTGTTGAAGTGTTTGTCTTGTTACTAGAACAACTGCTTTGTACACTGTAATGGATTTCAGATAATTAACATGTAAGTGTTTAAAACGCTGCCTTCTCAAATTACATGTCCTCATCTTTATTTATGTGGTGAAAAGCTGTGTAAATAGTGATACGACTGTACGTTACACCTTAAATGTACGTCTTATCTGAACTTCATCTAGGCTCAAAGCTGTTTTAGGACTTTAATCAATAAATCAATAATTTATTTCTGATATAACAACCAGCTGGATGTACATTATTCCTTATTTGCTGTATAGAGTGTTAATTTTAGACTTAATTTACAGGCCAGATATGAGCTTCAAACTGATTCATGTTTAGATTAACCAAATCCTAACCTTAGTATCTGCAGTGAACACTGTACATTTCTCATTAGACTGGAGATTTCAGTCACTCCAGTGTTTCCGAGTTTATTCCCACTCAGATCCAGCTCTTTCAGGTTTGAAGGGTTTGAATTGAATGCTGATACCAGAACAGCACAACTTTCTTCAGTAATACAGATGGAATTAAACCTGGACAAGAGAAAAAAAAATTATAAACGTCATATAATATAAAAATTATAACATCAGTTTTGTAGTAGTTGGCCTGTTTTACACATGGACTAAATTACTTACTTTAGCTTTTTCAGTCTACACTGTTCATTCTTAAACAGAGTCGAGAAGATCTTCATTCCTGAGTTTCTGAGTTTAGTCCCACTCAGATTCAGTTCTGTCAGATTTGAAGGGTTTGAATTTAAAGCTGCAGTCAGAACACGACAATCTTCTTCTGTGATATCGCTGTTATTCAGACTGCATTGAAAGAAAAATATTTACTCGATGATGACATTACAAAAGCAGCCATTGATTATTCAGTAAGCACTCTCCAGTAAAAGATACATAAAACACACCCAGCAGCAAGTTCACAAGTATTAAAAGGTGTCATCATAATGATAAAACTTACATCAGTGTGTTGAGTTTACAGTGTTTGTCCTGCAGTAGAGCAGAGATCTGATTCACTCGCAGTTTACATTCACTCAGATTCAGCTCTCTCAGGAGTAACGGGCTTTTACCCACAATTCCAGTCACATACTGACAGGCTTCATCTGCAGCAGAACCCAACAACCTGCAGTAGAAAAAAACAAAACAAAACAGTAGTTTCATCTACTACACATACTCAGGTCCATGTGATGCTTGTGGTGTATTTTTCATCCACAGATTCAGTTCTGTCAGATTTGAAGGGTTTGAATTTAAAGCTGCAGTCAGAACACGACAATCTTCTTCTGTGATATCGCTGTTATTCAGACTGCATTGAAAGAAAAATATTTACTCGATGATGACATTACAAAAGCATCCATTGATTATTCAGTAAGCACTCTCCAGTAAAAGATACATAAAACACACCCAGCAGCAAGTTCACAAGTATTAAAAGGTGTCATCATAATGATAAAACTTACATCAGTGTGTTGAGTTTACAGTGTTTGTCCTGCAGTAGAGCAGAGATCTGATTCACTCGCAGTTTACATTCACTCAGATTCAGCTCTCTCAGGAGTAACGGGCTTTTACCCACAATTCCAGTCACATACTGACAGGCTTCATCTGCAGCAGAACCCAACAACCTGCAGTAGAAAAAAACAAAACAAAACAGTAGTTTCATCTACTACACATACTCAGGTCCATGTGATGCTTGTGGTGTATTTTTCATCCATATTTTAATTTATTCAGTATACAAATTCTGTTGTTCAGCACATTTTTTTCACAAAAAATAATGCCATGTTTTGTTGTAAATTATATATTTTTGATTACATTTTAAAAGATTGATTAAATTGCTAAAGTTTTATTCATTTTATTAAACACCCTTTTTAAATACATTTTTGATATTAAATCATAAAATACGGAATACATAAAAAAAGGGAAAACAGAATTTGATTGGAGCCCTAAATTAGAAAGTATCTTACTTTGTGGAGTTGACCCTTTAAAAAACAACAACAACAACAACAACAAAAAGCTATATTTACATTTATTCTCACGGTCTAACAAACATGTGTAATACATTTCCTTCCTCATTAATAGAATGAACCGGTGCTGGCAAAATAACTTGGAATGAGCAAATTTTCAAAGATTATTAAAATACCTTCATTAAAATACCTTCAAAGTGATATATGACTTGTTGGAATCTGACAAAAAATGACTGAGCTACAGCCGTTTGAAGGTGACGGAGTCAGCAGATCTGATTTTGAGAAAAATCGAGTTAAAGATTCCAAAGCAAAATCACCTAGCAACGATGCAAATTTTCCTCCAGTTCTTTTCTTAATAATAATTACTATATTATTAATCACAATAAAGCTATTATTTATTTTATCTTTGTAATTAAAAATAAGAACAAAGATGCAAATAAACAGTAGTTTAATCAAGAGCAGCGAGAGATTCCGTCTTTTCTTTTAATGTATGATTAACATTGATATAGATCTATATTAAGACTTACTGTAAAGCATGGATCTAATATAATGTTACACATCAGATTTTCCCCTAACCATTAACTAAACTTTCATGTAAGACATAATGTTTGCGTGAATCTCGCCAAGACATATTTCGCAATCATGTACTTTATAGGGAGATCACACGCTCTGGGAGAGGTGCTTTGCAAATGTCAGTCAGCGCGATCGTTTTGTTTTCATCAGCATGGGTTTGAAAATCATATTTCACTGGTTTGGACTCGTGTCATCGAGAATTCGATATGAATATTCACAAAGCTGGAATGCTGGGCTTTGCAACAATAGACATACAACTTGTGAGAAGCAGCAGCGGTCATCCAGAAGCGAGCAGAGAAAAAGGTACTCCTCTCAGAAAACATACAAATAAGGATCATTTTAGATGTTTCAAATGTGAAAATGTTTCAAATGTCAAATTCAGATGTGTTCAAATTAAACCAAAACTGACATTTTTCAATTCTTTTGCCTGTAGCTCAAAATAAGACTGTGCGCATTCCGACTCATTTTGCCAGCACGGGTCACAAATATTGTCATAAATATTGATATTGAATAATATGGGAAAAAATATTACCCAGCCCTATTCATTAGACTGAATTAGTAAAATAATTTTTCTATGAAAAATAGGCTGCACATCATTTATTTTGCATTATTTCATCATGTCTCACCTCAGTGTCTTCAGTTGATAGTTTGGATCCTGTAGTAAATGATTGAGCTCCTTCACTCCTGATTGTCCAGGATCATTTCCTGTGAGATCCAGCTCTATCAGGTGTGAAGGGTTTGATCTCAGAGCTGAAGCCAGAGCTTTATAACCTTCTTCAGTGATACTGCAGTCTGAAAGTCTATAGAAAAAAAGAGAAAAACATATTTCATCTGACAGAAACTGTTTACTGCAGTAATTTAACATTGGAAAAAGGGCATATTGTCATTAAAATAAAAAAATGGTTCATTTTTACTGACCTGAATTTCTCCAGTGTGCAGTTTGTATTTTCTAATCCGTTCTGGAGTTTCTTCACTCCTGAATCCTGCAGATTATTGTTGCTCATGTCAAGTTCTTTCAGACTGGAGTTTGATCTCAGGACTGTAGCAAGAGCTGAACAGCTTTCCTCTGTTAGACCACACTTACGCAGACTAAAATGATGAACACGAGAAGAATAATTTATGAACACAAAGTACTTGATGTCAATATTCAGTGATTACTGAGAATTATTGTGTTTTGGTCACTTGATGTCTTTAACATAAAATCTACAATAATAAATGAACACAATACTCACATCAGTGTGTTGAGTTTACAGTGTTTATCCTGCAGTAGAGCAGCGATCTGATTCACTCGTGTGTCTTCTAGTTCACGTTCACTCAGATTCAGCTCTCTCAGGAGTAACGGGTTTTTAATGTGAAGAACTTCAGTCAGATATTTACAGGCTTCTTCTGCATCAGGACTTTGCAACAACCTGGATATAATAGAAGTACATTGATATTACCTGCCATATAGTGATTTATGTTCGCAATGTTGTGAAAGGAACTTCAGTCATTCCAAAGCGTTTACAATGTGTTTTTGACAGTTTCTTTTTTCAGCTAAAATGACACTTAAATGACACTTAAAATGACACGCACCATATGACTAGTAAGTCAAATCTCAAATAACTGCCCTGATGACTTGTGTTCTACCCGCCTAAATGATAGAAGTACTTGTGCTGTCCAATCTATAAAGACGGCATATGGCCTATAGTCTTTTTTTGCATTTATGCAATATACTGGAGCCAATCCTGTGAAGGGAGTGCAGAATATTCCACTGCGTTCCTGGACATGTAGTTTATGTAGCTGTAATTTATAGGCGGGGATTATGCTAATTGTGAATGAGCGTGCACGAGCGCCCTATTTATGAATGATTGGAATTCATTAACATACACACGTTTAACTATCAAATCTGATGTTTACAAACGATTTGTGAATCCGCAGGAGAGTTTTCAGGAATATGTGTTCTCAAATCATGAGCTCTTTAAATGTTTCCTGTTTTATGTGAAAATTACTCAGAATTTACTCATATATTTACGCAATTTTCATGAATGAGGCCCATTATTAGTGTACACCAGGAAACATCATAAAATAATTTAAAAAATGCAGTCCATGACCCTTTTAACGAATTTGATTTAAAGGTTAGAACTGTGCATGTTAATTCTCAAGGTTATCACACTCCAGAATAGCAGCACATCTACTGAGCCATAATGTCTATTTGTCCTGTATCTTCTACCAAAACTAAACAGAGTTGACAGTTATCTTTTGATGCAACAAATTGTGCAGCTTATTACTAAAACAACTTTTATGAATATTTAGCCTGCAATTCATTTATTTTGTCTTGTTTGATCACATCTCACCTCAGTGTCTTGAGTTGGATCCTGTAGTAAATCATTGAGCTGCTTCACTCCTGATGGTCCAGGATCATTTCCTGTGAGATCCAGCTCTATCAGGTGTGAAGGGTTTGATCTCAGAGCTGAAGCTAGGGCTTTATAACCTTCTTCAGTGATACTGCAGTCTGAAAGTCTACAGAAAATAAAAACTAGATTTTTATTTCACATTGTGAAGTTAATTCAATACTGCACAATAGTCTAATCACCAAAATATGACAAATCACATTAGAGCTTTACATACAGGTAAGCCACTTCTGGTTTCATTATGTGTGGATTGATTAATGAATTATAATTTAATAATGGTCAGAAAGAGTCTGTGATTGTTTCATATATGTAGTTTGAGTTTGTGTTAAATTTGACTCTAAATGTAGGAAAGCGTAACTGTAAAGCAGTGTTATTATAGTTATTATATAGTTTTATAGTGTTTATAGTGTTTTTGTGTATCTAGAAACAGAAAATATGGTTTAATATGGATAGTTGCTTCATGGTAAATAGTCTCAAATGCGTTCTGGATGGCATTTACACTTGTACATTTTATTATCAGAAACCTCTTCAATCAGTGAAAATGCATTAAGTCGTCAAGTGTAAACAGGCTTCAGGTCAGTGTAGCTGCTGGTGAAATGTACTCACTTGAGTATCTTCAGCTCACACACAGGATTCTTCAGTCCCTCACAGATCTCTTTGACTCCTGAGTCCAGCAGACGGCTGTTGTTCAGGTTCATCTCTTTCAGGATGGTTTTGGAGGAGAGAACAGTAGCTAGAACTGAACAGCTTTTCTCTGTCAGTTTACAATTATTCAACCTAAACACAAAAACAGCATTATTTATTATTCAGCACATATTCAACAAACAACAAATCGTCTCGGTTACGTATGGTAACCCTTGTTCCCTGAAGGAGGGAACGGAGACGTCACGTCGGATGACTGACGAATTGGGATCTCGCTTAGAGAGACCAATAGGTCACTTAGAACCTCCGCCAAAGTGCCAAAGGGTGCCCCGTCTCTGAGTGAGTAGATCCTTCCTCAGAGGAATTGGCCAAGGAGGGGTTGTCGCGAGGAGCATTAGTTCCGGGAACCAGGTCCGGGTAGGCCAATAGGGTGCCACCAACAGGACCTGCTCCTCGTCCCCCAATTCGTCGGTCATCCGACGTGACGTCGGGAGTGACCGACTGAAAGGGAACAACAGTTCTTCATATCTGCTCACACATGTGACTGACAGTCTTTATAATGAATAAAAAGAGAGGTTAAAATGTATAAATGATGTTGACTCACTTCATTTTCTCCACTTTGCTATGAGAGTCCATCAAAAGAGCAGAGAGCTTCTCTCCATCCAGATCTCCTAATTTATCTTCACTCAGATCCAGTTCTGTCAGTAATAATGGACTTTTACCCAAAACATTAGTGAGATACTCACACGCTTCCTGTGCAGCTGAACTTTTCAAAAACCTACAGGAAGAAGAAAGTAATTTAGATTCAATAATCTAGTTATATTTTTATGGTATTTGAGGCTCCGATCTTCTTTATGGGTCCAGTGTATTATTAAAGTTATTGTCATGAAAACTGTCTCCAATTTCATTGTGAAAATATCTATTATACAAATAAGGAAGAAAATAATCAGAAAACAATAATTTGCAAAAATTATTTATATAATAATTTATGTTTTTTTTTACATTATATTTCTTTAACAAACCCCATGAAATTCAGTCTTGTAACTGGTGAACTGTTTTGAATTGCAATTCTATAAATTTCTCTTCCAGCTAATTTATCACCAGCTAGTTTATCCCCTCTGCCAGCTATTTTTATACAGCTGAAATCACACCTATGTCTTATTTTTAGATATTTAAAGACAAGTAGGACCTGATTATCTTTAATGTAAAGCGTCCATCCAGTATTAAATCACTGAGCTGCTTCACTCCTGATGGTCCAGGATCATTTCCTGTGAGATCCAGCTCTATCAGGTGTGAAGGGTTTGATCTCAGAGCTGAAGCCAGAGCTTTATAACCTTCTTCACTGATACTGCAGTCTGAAAGTCTAGAACAGGAATGAAAATGTAAAAATGTATCTGATTAATCAGTTACTCCACAAATGTTCTGAACAAAATTAATCCATACAAAACAGATGGCTAAATATGGATGCAAACAACAGGCCCAGAGACCTTTAATATGTTACACATCAATTCACCTGAGATTCTCTAGTTTACAGTTCTCTTTCAGTGCATTAGAGAGAAGCCTCACTCCTGAATCTTGCGGATTATTATTGCTCAGATCAAGAGCCTTCAAACTGCTGGAGTCTGAACTGAGAACTGAGCTTAGAGCTGAACAGCTTTCCTCATTTAGATCACAGTTACTGAGCCTGAAAATAATACAAAAATACAATAACGTCATCAAATATGTCATATTCCTGTGATTGCTGTTGTGTTGAGTGTAACTGATGGTGAAATGTACTCACTTGAGTATCTCCAGCTCACACACAGGATTCTTCAGTCCCTCACAGATCTCTTTGACTCCTGAGTCCAGCAGACGACTGTTGTTCAGGTTCATCTCTTTCAGGATGGTTTTGGAGGAGAGAACAGTAGCTAGAACTGAACAGCTTTTCTCTGTCAGCTCACAATTATTCAGCCTGAACACAGAAAAACAGCCTTTTTTATTTATGTTTTTGTACTTCAGCAAAATGTACTTTAAAAAATATTTAACACTCATCAGATCAACTGGTCTTCATGTCAGCTTACGCACATAACTGACAGTCATTAGTAGTAATTAATAAGAGAAGATATAATGTATAAATATTCACTCACTTAATTTTCTCCAGTTTGCTATGAGAGTCTATCAAAAGAGCAGAGAGCTTCTCCCAATCAAGGTCTCCTAATTTAGCTTCACTCAGATCCAGTTCTGTCAGAAGTAATGGACTTGTACCCAGTACTTTAGTGAGATGATCACATGCTTCCTGTGCAGCAGGACTTTTCAGAAACCTACAGGAAGTAGAAGAGAATTTTAGATTAGATAATTTTACAATTGTATGCCTTTTGCAGCTCTCATCCTTCTTACAGGCCCAGCTCAGCAAACAGAACATTTCCACTTAGTGTAAGGTTAGTTTATCAGAGCAAGGTTTACAGTTCTATTTCCTAGGTTTTCTGATAAGCTCAGTCTACAAAAACATACAAATTTACATTAAATATTTTTGTTATTTAAAAATAAAATAGTTGTTTTCCCTCACTGCCTTCAACTGATAATGTACATGCAAATGCTTTTGATTCACACACACCAGTTTTATGAAACTGATAGCACTTACAGTGTATATATATATAAAAGGTGTACCTAATAAAGTGGCCAGTGAGTGTATGGTTTAAGGAAATAAACAATTTGTAATGTGTGTGTGGTACAAGTGTTGGTAACTGATCTGCAAGGCTGTTAATACAATGCGTTTATGGTTACATAAAAAATATATGTACCTACCAATGCAGGGCCGGCCCAAGCCTTTATGGGGGCCCTAAGCAGAATTTTATTTGGGGGCCTCTCGGTGCCGCCAATACTAGTGATTATTGTCAATGCTTGATTATTCGCACACTATAAATCTAACACACCCATTATCAATTTTATTTGTTGTAGCTGTGTTGCTTACATCATACCAATGTTTTTACCCTTCTACGATTTTTAATTGTACAATTAGCAAACCCACAAAAGTGATCAGGTGTTCATTTGCACTTTAACATTCAAAGTCTTACAGTACTAAGTGGCATACTTAATGTGGTGTACTGAAAAGAAGGTAAATAAACCAGCAGACAATGCATTTACAGAACAGAATGTTATTTTAACAACATAAATTATTATATACAGCAGCAAACCATCTGTACATAAAAAACAACAGCTCTTAATCTATAACTAGCTAATTGGGGCATAATGATAATGGAATATAATAGTAAAGACCCCAAAGGTAGGCTAAGGTAAATAATGTTAAGCTGTTATCAGTACCAAGTTTATGAAACAATTTGTTTTATTAAAAAAATATATGCCCAGGAAAGTTATTTTTACACAGAAGACAAAATGTTTTATCTAAAATGAGCAACTGCAAGTAAAATGTTATATTATAATATATCAGGGTTGCCAACATTGGTTGCCTGACTGGAGTGAGATACATGAATATATAACACACACACACACACACACACACACACACACACACACACACACAATGCACTGCCCTTTACCCACTGTTTGTCTATAGTGTAAATTTTTTTAAACACTTAAAATATTTTAAAGCCTATATTATTTTTTAACTGTATAGTTGTGCAGTACAATTCATTTTAAAGATTCACTTTTCATTCATGAAGATGAAAAAAATTGCCAAAAATATGTCTCCAGGTAGAAAACAAAGACTTTTAACATGAAAATGACATGAAATTACGATTATAACCAGTAGATTGCAGCAGAGGATCACTCATCAGCTCAGTTGCCATTTCCACTCCCTAGTTTTTGTCACATCTTGCTTTTGGATCTATTATAAAATGACTATTATACCAACATTTTGTACGTTTACTGTACTAAAGTATGAATAAATAAGTTAATTATCGATGGTAGAATAATTAAATAATAATGCATTAAATTGTTTATCTTTAACTGTAGAAGCTGCTATATATTCAGCCAACACAGACTTGTCTCTGCTGTAGTTTTTTTACTCTGAATTTACTCTGCATCACTTAATGCACAGCTCTATTTTGACATCGGCTTGTCAGATAGTTCATTCCGTCCATTGCTACAGTATTTATCATTGTCAATCTTAGCAATGACTCGCGGAACAATTTAGCTGATTCACTTATAATGCTTTACACTCACGTTTGTCATTCCTTAAACAGTATAGGCCAGGGGTCGGCAAGTAAGTTTGGCATTGGGCCAAAAAACAATTTCGCCACTAGATGGCGGACCAGAACATAGTCAAAGGATAATTTAAGAAATTAATTGATGAAAAATGCAACTAGAATTGCCTGTGACAGACTGTTACAGTCTCTTTTGTAACTGGTAGTGCAAGCCTGAGAGTGCACGTCTGAGAGTGCAAGCCTGAGAGTGCAAACTTTTTTCCTACCGCATGGCAAGCTAACATGGTTGTCAGCATTAAAAGGTATAATTGCTGCTTTTTGCAGTGCAAATTTAGTTTGAGATGAAAATAACAGTATGTTTTTGTCAGTTATTTTACCTACAGAGCGATGCATTTCTTACAGATTTCTGCTCATTTGAAATCGGATACAGATGAAGTAGCACTGTAAGATTACATTTGTTTGAATGCATTATTGAGAGAGCGATTGCGTGTGAATAAGTGTTGTAATACTTGTTTAAATCATGCTTTCAGCTGAAAATATTCAGTATCTAGAAGGAACAAACAAATTCCTTGAGAACTATAACTTCCCGCTCATGTCCATTGCAGTCATCATAGCCTTAGGCTATCACATTCTTTCTGATTTGAGTGATCCATCTGTATCAAGGTAGCTAAATATGTTTAACATGAGAATCCTTGCTAAATATGCAGTTATATTACGGGCCGTTGACATGATTGTACTCGTGATGGAGCGGTGATGGAGCGGTGATGAAGCGGTGCTGGAGCGCTCTTGGAGCGAGAGAAAACCACGACGCCAGTTTTGGCCCACGGGCCGCCTTTTGCCGACCACTGGTATAGGCTATGTCAGCGGTTCTCAATTCCAGTCCTCGCGTACCCCCGCTCTGCACATTTTGTATGTTTCTCTTATTGCTTCAGACATTTGTTATATTTGACTGTAAGTGCCCTGCGAAGTGGACATTACCAGATATTCCTCCATGATTCCAGTTTGAAGGGAGCGTATATGTTCCATACAAAGGGCATTTAAGTGTGCGAGACGTGAATTTAAATTGTATTTATTTACAGAGGTATATTATGTCCCACTTCATGCTTCTCTAGTAAGTTTCGTTTGTGTGTGAAGACGCTGCAGGCAGGCATTAAATCTGTAAATGAATATTGCAAATCTGTAAATAAGTGAAGTAAACTTCAACGGATTTTCCCTGCTCAGGGAGTAGGGAGCAATGGACACTGTGTAGGGACCATGTCAATCGGAACACAGTTCATGCACGGAGCTCACTTCTAACGAAATGATGATCTGAATCAGGTGTGTTAACAAAGAGAGACATGCAAAACATGCAGAGCGGGGGTACGCAAGGACTGGAATTGAGAACCGCTGGGCTATGTGAACAAACAAAACTTTTCTTCATATTTTAAATGGATTATGTGAGAAACCTTTTTTCTTGTTATAATGGGAAGATCTAGGAGTGCGTAGAACTCCGTAAACTTGTGAAAACAATTAGTTCAGAGTGGAATCTGACTAACCTACAGTAAACACCTCTGATCAGATTTGATCATGATGCATCGCTATGGAAATAATACATACATATCGATTATTTAATTATTTAATATAGCATTTTTTGTATAATTACCCTTGTCCATTAACACAATACATCATCAAAATAAAAAATAAAAATCAAGCTGTCATTTCATGTAATCTTGGGGGCCCCCTGGTGGCCACGAAGGCCCTAAGCAGCCGCTTAGTCAAGTCAAGTCAAGTTTATTTGTACAGCGCTTTTCACGATACAAATCATTGCAAAGCAATTTTACAGCAAATTAAGTCTGCTTATGCCTTGGGCCGGCTCTGTACCAATGTTAATATTGCATGTTATATGCAATGTTTGATTTAAAGATGATTAATTAAACACTAGATCAAAACAAGATATAGCTGACTGATTATTGATGTTACATTAAAGCGTCATTGAAGAGTAGTTACTAATGAAAGTATTTAAAGTTTTTAAATTACCTGATGGTCTTTAATTTATAGTGCTTATCTTGTAGTAAATCATTGAGCTGCTTCACTCCTGATTGTCCAGGATCATTTCCTGTGAGATCCAGCTCTATCAGGTGTGAAGGGTTTGATCTCAGAGCTGAAGCTAGAGCTTTATAACCTTCTTCAGTGATACTGCAGTCTGAAAGTCTAATAAAAAGAAGAAGACGTTGTTGTTAATAGTAGTTGTTATTCTTAACTCAGTTAAGTTCATTTGTTTATTCTTTGTTAGAACACAGATCATCATACTAGTACCATGCTTTATAAATAACATCTGACAAACTACTTGGAACAGCATAATCTAATTCTCATTTACTTAATAACTTACATTCAGTTACAGTATATATTACTATACATAGAGATACAAGTACTGAAATGGAAATTTGTATTTTCAATTTTTTCAATTTTCAGTAGTCTTATTTTTTCAGTTAACAATCAAATAGACATTTACAAATATATATTAACATGCAAAAATGTAGATTTGAATATACACACTTCAGTTTTCCCATTTTGCATTGTACATTTTTCAACAGATGACAGATCTTCTCTATTCCTGAGTTCTGAAGTTTATTTCCACTCAGATCCAGCTCTATCAGGTTTGAAGGATTTGAATTTAACGCTGAAGTCAGAGCAACACAACCTTCTGCTGAAATACTGTTATTATTCAACCTGCAGAAAAAGAAAACAAAGACAGGAAAGATTCTTCAGTTTATCTTAAAACATTTCTTATTGAACAACAATGATCATTTTAATCCAAAAAAGATACTGAAAATATAACATCAAAATAATGTTACGTGTGGAAGATATTTTACATATAAAAGTATAAAATAATACGAAATACTCACATCAGTGTGTTGAGTTTGCAGTGTTTATCCTGCAGTAGAGCAGCGATCTGATTCACTCGTGTGTCTCCTAGTTCATGTTCACTCAGATTCAGCTCTCTCAGGAGTAACGGGTTTTTACCCACAATTCCAGTCACATACTGACAGGCTTCATCTGCAGCAGGACCCAAAAACCTACAGAGGAGAAGATGAAGTAGGATTCAATTAAATTACCTAACCATTTAAGATGTAATGGAAAGAATAGTAAATATTGTTAAAAACCCATTTTTTAAATCTTGAAATCACTAACTTTGGTGCAACAATGACATTTTCTTACTAAAACAAGATTTTTTTTATCTTATATATGATCAATTTTGTATTAATCACATCTCACCTCAGTTTTAGTTTACAGTTTGGATCCTGTAGTAAATCATTGAGCTGCTTCACTCCTGATTGTCCAGGATCATTTCCTGTGAGATCCAGCTCTATCAGGTGTGAAGGGTTTGATCTCAGAGCTGAAGCCAGAGCTTTATAACCTTCTTCACTGATACTGCAGTCGGAAAGTCTAGAAAATAAATACATAATAAACATGAAAAACTACATTTGTTATCCACATAAGTCTATAAATACATTATAAATACATTTTTCCTCTTTGGATAACAGGTAAACCAGTGTTTGGTGTAATGGGTTAATATTAATCAGTAACCCATCAGTAATTTTATCACTCTTGTGATAAACAGGAAAGTGTGTCCAGCTGAATTCAATTTGAGTTTTGTTAGACGAATATAAAAAGCTTAGTATACCGCGGCAACGGTCGCAGCAGCCTTCGTGTGAAGACCGAAGAGTGTAAAGACCATTGACTCTACCGTTCGACTCCACCGAGCAGGGACACCGGCAAGGCACATAAGTATCGCTTTTAAATCATTCACTTTCCTACTACTTGTTTCCCTTCTGTTTTCAGTTTTTATAACCAATTCTTACTATGTGTTTCCAGATCCCTACTATCACTACCACTCGCAAACCATGCATCACACACTGTAGGCAGCGCAATCCTAACAACCTGCGCACTTTGCCTATGTCTACTAATACACTACTTTCTTTTTCTATTGGTCTCTGGAATTGCCAGTCTGCTGTAAACAAAGCAGATTTT